GCAGGACGCCCCAGCTCCTCCAGCCCTGAAAGGCCCAGCACCCGCGCCCCCAGCCCCCGGCTGCTGTCCGGGCCCCTCCCTGGGGAGGGGCAACCGTCGCCCGGTGAACGGATGGGACGGTGGTCCGGACTGAGTTGACACCGACGCTTTCCTCCGGTGAGCCGCGTCAGCCGCATCTTTCGCTCAGCGCCACCGATGCCGGCTCAGACTCAGGCCGGACGAGGACCTGGTCTTGTGGCTGCCCCGCAAGCAGCAGCCCGCCTGCTGCTCCCTGCTTCGCCAGGGACACGTCCCAGCCTCTGGCTCAAGCTCTCTTGGTGGCTGAGGTCCCCCAGTCGAACCCCTCCCCCCCCATGTCAGTTTGGACCCTGGCCGGGCTCCTGGGCACCAGATATCGCACGAGCCCCTTCGAGGAGGGACTGGGGTAGATCAGAGTTTGGGGGGGCCTTTACTCAATTTCAGAGACCACCTAAAGAAGCAGCCCACTTTTGTTAAGAAGTATTTATTTAGAACTAGAACAGAAACATGTGAATCCACATCCACCAGAACCACAGCGAGGCCTAGATGGCCATCCCCCACCTACAGGCAAGGGACAGGCTTCACTGTCCCCAGATGAGAAGGGCTTTCTGTCTTCAGCTCCCCAAAACCACTCTGCGCCCATGACAGCATTCTCTCCAACCCTCCAGTTAGATCACCCGCAGCTGGCTGAGGGAAGAGAGGATCCAGGGTGGGCTCTGAAGCCACCTCAGTTCAGAGAGGCTTAAACTCCATGAAGGCATTTGAGCAGAGCGGTCACGAAGAGAAGGCCCCCACTCCCGTCTCTGAACTCCATTCAGCTGAGGCTCAGTGGCCTGGAGTCCCCTTGCCCACCCTGGAAGTGCCCGTCCCTCAGACCACCTAGCCCTCTCCCTGTAGGCTTCCATCATCTTTCCCCAACAGTCGAGCCCTCCCTTCCCTTCCCTTCATGACTCACCCACCCCCAGGAGTTCCTGCCACATTCCTGCTGCCCTGTGGCCCCAGTACAAGCTAGGTTCTCAGGCTGCCACCACCACCCTCTACCTGGCCCCTAGGCTTGGCCCCCGATTCATGTTAAAGTGTTCGTGTTCCCATTGACTTGAGGTCAGGCAAGAACCAGGCTGCCAGCCCCTCAGCCCCTCAACCCACCAGATAGACCCTCTTCTGAGCCCAGTCCTGACCCCTCACACCCCCCCAAAGCAGTAAGAGGCTCAGGGGAGGTGGTCCCGCTACACAGGGGGGTGCCAAGACCCCCTCACAACACAAACTTGTGCTTGACTGGGGAGTTGCTCCTGGTGGCCGCGTCCGCGTGGACCTGGTACCCAATGGTCTTTGTGGGGAGGTCCAGGCACTCCTTATATACACGCCTGGAGGGGGGGTGGCAAGGGAAGAGACAGTCAGCAGTGGGTCCTAGAGGTTACCTGGGTTCCCTACCCACCAAACTCCCT